AGCCCAGAAACTCCGGATCGGAGGTCTCCATGTTGTGGGGGCAGGGTCTCGGTCACATCCACGACCGGATCATCGCTCTCATCAGGAAGCATGAGCCTCGTCACCCGGAAGGGTTTGACATTTTCATTTCGTGGACTGGCAATGACGTCTACGGCAAGTGGGGCTACAAGGCCTTCACCTGGCACCACCAGTCGCCGTGGGTGAAAGAGACGGCAGAGATGGCTCGCAAAGCCTTCGAGTGGCCGATCAAGCAGCTCAAGAAAGTTCAGGAAGATGTCGTCAAGATCGCCGCCCTAAAGGACCGGCCAGGGGTGAATTCTGTGACAATGATCTCAGGCCCCGAGAATGGCTTTATGTACGGCCTGCCGGAAGAGTACGACGAGGAGATGACTCGCCACACGAAAGTGTTGGCCGAAGCAGGTGTGAGACTGGTCGACCCCAACCCAGTGTTGGGCGCCACTGACAGACCAGACAAGTTTCACACGAACTTCACGGCTGACAATGTGGCCGCGGTTGTCACATGGTACAAGTCACTCGTCACCGCCACAGTCTTTGACCGTGCGGTGACGGACTTGCGATCAGAATTGGTTGCCAACCGCCGAGAGGTGGTCTTCTTCGAGCACTTCCACCTGGCCAAGCCGGACTCCCGTATTACGGTCCCGCCATTGAAGGACATGCACGTCTGTGCTGACACCGAGCGCGAGGAACCGCCAGACGTTCGGGGGGACGACGAACAGATCGTGTTGAGTGCTCCGCTGTTGGCCGCACATCAGGATCTTCTGTGTGCCGAGCCGGAGGAGCTGACCGACACCGATCGTGTCCTCTTCGACACGACACCTGGAGCCGAAAATGTTGTCCAGAGAACTGAGGACAACTCGGATCCCTCTGTGATGATCACCAAGCTCCAGATCGGCAGTCACGGTGAAGAGGCTGCGACTGATGAAGAGATTGCCTTGGCGAATGCCCTCGGCGTCTACGGTCTCGATCTGGAGATTGGTCGCACCTCTAACGAGGATGCTGAGTCTAGCAAAATCTTCAAAGACATTGAGGAGCTCACTGAAGAAGAACTCAGCAAGCGGCCCCGATTCTACGCGAGGGGATCTGTCGGGATTCAGAATTTGATGAGGGAAATGCAGTTGGAGGAGGCCAAGAAACCACCTGTTCCTCCAAAGGCGCGGCCCGCTGACGCGGAGCCTAAGGCAACTGGTATCTTACCTTTGGCCACGAAGGCTCATGCTGTACCTCCTGCCGTGCCGCAGGCTGCATCCTCATCGTCGGCGTCTGGCACACTCCCGCCTAAGGAAGTTCCTGGGAAGTCTGCATCGTCTGGCGCAAAGCCTACTGAACCGTTGCAGCCACCGCCTCCTAAGAAGATGCCTATCACCGCTGTGAAATCGGCACCTACGCCAAAGGCGGAGCACGCTGCCAGTGACAAGGCAGAAGCGTCACCTCCCGGAAGGGATGGTCAGTTTTGGTTGTCAGGCCCGGACCTGCCGCCCTTCGCGTCTGATCATCGACACCTCAGTGAGGGCCAGCGCTTCAAACTGGGCAAGAAGTGTGCATTCGTCCTCAGAGGCTTCACCAACAAGCCCGAGTACGGCAATAGAACGCCGACAGTGACGATCCGTCGGAACGACCTCTCGATGGATTGGGAAGAGTTCATCGATGCCCCTAGCCAGATCTGGAACGGGCTCAAGGTCTCCCAGATCTTCGAAGTCTTTAAGACTCCAGTCGACGGGAAAGCCCGCTACGAAGTTTACATTCAGAAGCACAATGATCAGGAATTTGACGTGCTTCGAGCTCGGGCTATCCATGGGCATTGGTCGGGGCTCTTCGGTGACGATACCGAACTCGCCGACATCCACTCCGTGGTGCATTCCTTTGTGCCATGGGACGCCAGTCTAGCGACTCGGCCTAAGATTCATCCGTTCGACATGTACTCCCAGGAGTTTGTCGATTTCCCTTGCAAACTGGGCTACCACGGCACCTTCATGAGGCACTTCCCAGATATCATCAGATACGGATTGTTGCCTGGTGGTGCCGCGCTCCACGAGAGTGGTAGCAGAGCTTTTGTCATGATGTCAAAGCAACCAGAATGGAAAAGGGATGACAATGCGGGCCTTCGCGAGGCGGCGGACGTCGAGTTCGCCATCGATCTCCAAATGGCCGTCTTGGACGGCGTCCGACTCTTCGAGACTCGCTCCGGGGCACTGGAGACGCCAGATTGGATCAGCAATCGATATCTGGTTTACGCTTATCAGCGGGGCACAGCAGAGCCTGTGTGGGTCAATCCGGCCTACCAGGCGTTCCGTCGGAACATTGACTCCGCTCTAGCGAGCTGGAACAAGGATGGAAGCCACAAGTGCATCTTTGGTCCAGATCAATTTGCCTTGGAGCAGCACAACTGTTTTCTCGACTTGTTGGAAACCGCCGAGAATCTCACCATCGCTGAGTGGGCGCCGGTCGCAATCGACTGCAAGACCCCGTTTCGCATTTCGGCGGACATCTTGAGCGAGGTCGGCGAAGAAGTCATCGAGCGAAGGAAGAACGATGATCAGCTCATCGAAACATATGACGGCTCGCTCGGAATCGGCATCCACGTCTGGCCATCCATGGAAGGCAAGCGGATCCGACTTCGCCAGAGGATTGAACCGAGGCACTGGATCAAACAGGAGTTGGTACTCTACCCCGGGTACCATTGCAGCTCATGCAATCACAAGTACATCGACGGAATGATCTCCTGTCCAGGCTGCCAACGTCGCCTCATCGAGATGACCGACCTTGCGATTATCGCCGAGCCCGACAGACTCCGGCGAAGCGCCGCCCGAGAGGGCAGGCAGGTCAACATCATTGACTTGCAGCCATCCTCGGGGCTCAAGCACGCGCGTGTGAAGATTCAAGGGCCAGAAGAAAGGGAACGAATCCAAAGCACAGCGTCTGGCATCCGCCAGAAGGTCCTCAATCAGCAGAAGAGAGCGGAGAAGCTCCACAACACCACTCCGCAGGGGCAATACAGTGTGGACCCCATCACTGCTCACAACTACGCCAAAATGGGTCTCAGCTTTCACACTGTCGAGGCGCTGCAACGCTTCGCTAACGTGAGGCTTCCCTGATCCTCAGGGCAAAGGAAAAGGGCATGGTTCGTCCACCTACTATGATGCCACTGGAAAGGTTGCCCTCCTCTGGGTGACAGGCCAGCTTGAGATCGACCTCCTCACGGAGTGTCTGATTTGTTTTCATGATCGGTTTTACACCATCAATGAGATTGCAGTTCTCATCAAGGCTGTGAAGTCGAACCAGCATGAGTTTTCCATCCTGCAGTACGATGGGGAGAAATACATCGTCGTGCAGAATGAAATCTTGCCGATCATGGCCGAGCTGGCTACTTTCTTCAAGGCACAACTGCCGCTGAGCCGGACAAGGATCGAGAAGACAAATCCTTCTCTTCGCACCCAGAGAGATCTGCAGGTACCCGCTGAGGCACAGGGACTTGGCAAACGTCAGCTCAACGAGTTGCTGGCCAATACCCCTTACTATCGTCGGTACCAGCAGTACTACATGGACAAGCGCATCGGGGAGAGCGGCCACGTGAGGTTGACCACTTCGGCACCCGCGTCCGAACGTCGCCCACCTGAGCCTCCGGCATCTCCTGCACGACGAGGTCGCAGCTCTGACGAGCGTGCATCGGGTACAGCACAGCGCAATCGCACAAGGTCCCCGATCGCCAGACATCGTCCGACCGAGGTCCACATCCGGACCAACCCTGGAGATGGAGCGGGCTCATCTACCGATCGCACCCCTCGGGAGCCTGCGATGCCGCCGCCCAGGCGTGTGGCACGTGATCCGTCCAGCTATATCAGTGACGCGGATTGGGATGCAATGCGTGCTGGTACAGGCTTCAGCAGTCCAGCACCGGAAACGGTTGCTCCCGATACCACTATGGATGGAACAGTGAGCGAGACACCGTCCTCTGCTGTTGATCTTGGCACAAGGCGCGAATGGTCCGAGACCTACCGCCGGCGACCCCATGACCCACCGACCTTCGGCGTGTTCTTCGAGACGAGAGATGTCCCCGACCGACAGGTCCGGATGCGTGAGACTGTTGTCAACTTCTTTGAGCAGCTCAGGGTCGCAGGATTGTTGTACTCAAACTTCGTGTTGGGGAACGATCTTTCCGGCAACATCATCGATCCTTCGCTTGCCAGGCGAATGGACTGGCACCGCGTTGACATGTACCAATGGGCGGTGTTCGCTGCGATGACCGAAGACTACATCCAGCCTACTTCAGTCGTGAATGCCATTCCTACTCATGGCAACCCACATGGCTTCACGATTCTGGACACCTCTCATGCCCAATGGTTCTTGTCAGGATGGGTCCATGAGGTCTACAACTACAGGACCAACCGCCGTGACCGCATCTACTGAGGTCATCTGATCGACGGCCCATTGTGCCGAGCTTGATCACCTCCCTAACGGGATGGTATTCTGAGACATTTAGATGCCGTCTGGTTAGTAGTGAAGTGAGATTTAAGCGTCGGCACCGCCCTAACGGGTTGGTAGCTAACCTTCTCGTACAAACAGCACAGGGCGCAAAACATCGGCCGCATAATTTGCTTTTGTTGCAAGTTGTTTTCGCTGTCACAAAGTGATATGCTCACGACGGTCTAGTGACTAGTCTTTCCTTCCATCGCCTTCGCCTCAACCGTTGCACTAAGATGCGCGGGGGGTGTATTTTGTGGAAGATGTAGCTAGTCACCTGCACCTACTGTCGTTCATTGGCTCAAGAAAATATGCGTCTGCATTCAGGCTGTTCTGCCTGTAAACATAAACCCCTAAACCCCTAAACCCTAACCCCTAAACCCTAAACCCCTAAACCCCTAAACCCTAAACCCCTAAACCCCTAAACCCAAAACCCCTAAACCCTAAACCCTAAACCCCTAAACCCTTAAAGGAACAGAACCCGAAGGCCCTAGGCCCCTCTCTGTAAACCCTGCCTCCAGGCATTTCCCACCTCGGCGAAGCAACCCATGGCCAGGGCGCTTCCCCTCGCCAAGGCCGGGGGTCCTTTCATGTTCACAGGGTTCCGATAAGGGTGTAGGGGCCCTTTAAGGGATCTATAGGGGTACTATCAGGGGTTCCTTTAAGGGATCTATAGGGGTACTATAAGGGGTTCCTGAAAGGGATCTATAGGGGTACTATACTATAAAGTTTTAGGGTTTAGGGTCTACTTCGAGGATTCTTGGACTTAGTAAGTAGGGTTATAAGTACCTTAGTTAGGGTTATGAGTAGGTATAACTATAATTACCTTACTTATACAACCCTACTTACTAAGTCCCATGATCCTCAAGGTATGACCTTTAAGGATGCGGCTTCCTCTAAAGCTTCCTTCAAGGTAAACTCTTGAGTTTAGGGCTTCTTTTAGTAGTTGGTTCAATAAGAGAACTTGAAGGAACAGTATTACTACATATTTGTGCCCTCTGTATTGGGATCGCGGGACGTAGTAAGCGGGTTGGAAGTACATTATAAGCTAGTGATACTCCAAACAGAGGGGCTTCTGTGGCTTATGGGCTGAGGAGTTGGTTTGTGTTTTTCGATGGGCGGTGTGGGGAGTTCAAGGGGGCTTTGGCAGTCTTGTGAGTTCAAGGCTTGGGATTTAGCTGAGGCATTTTGGCTTGGGTTTAGAGTCTGTCTAGATCCAAGGGTAAACGGAGGGACCCCTAATAAGGACTCCCAGGTATATATCCATAATATAGCCATTATATACCCATTATGTAGCCCATTATAGGGACCCAGGGGTCCTCATTAAGGGTCCCCTCCTTTTCCCCTAAACCCCCTAAACCCTAAACCCTATACCCTTATAGAACCCCTATAGATCCCTTTAAAGGGTCCCTCCTTTTCCCCTTTGAATAGAGTCTTCGCAGTCTTGTCAGAGGATTATGACCTCCAGGATGTCTGGCTGCTGTCGGTTTAAGATTGGACTTTGGGACATTTTTTATTTTCCTTATTTGGGTTTATAAGGGACCCTATATATAAACATTTTTCAGGGTGTTTAAAGGCCAACCCAGTCGGTTTAGAATTGAGTTGAAGGGCTTGCAGGGAACCCAAGACAAGCAAAGGCATAATACAGGAGCCTGAACAGTGAATAGTAGTTCCTGCAGAGTTATACTTTCGTACAACCCGAGACTCTACTTTTGAAGGCACTAGAGGACCATATACCGTTTGAGCGCTACAATAAGGGTTCCTTCAAAAGCTGCTTTATTGTTAGCACGATTGTCGAGGGCACCGCTACTTCTCACGTCCGGCCAAAACTCCTAACCTCTCTTGAAGTCCAGGGGGGCACGGCACGGCATCATGCACGGTCTAGCGTCGGAGGTTGTAGGGTATCCTTATAGGGTCCAAATACCTAATGATCCTATGCTCTCCCAAAACAGTATCCTACCAAGCTGGTTATCCTAAACCCAAGTATGTATCTACTAGGCCCTTTGAAACCTTCGGGTATGTTAGAGATCTACTTTGTTCATACATTAATAAGGAAAAGATCACCAACACCCTCCTGTGACAGACTTCGTGTTCGGACGGTAGGAACTCAGATTCTCCGAAAGCCATTATGTAAGGCGGTCTGGTGTAGAATTATAAGAATCTCTGCAGGCTACAGCAGGACTTGCAGTTGGAATTTCCAACCAGGGTCAGGGCATGTTGACTTGCATTTATTTTGAATTTGCGGTTTGCGTTTTTTTTGCATTTCAATCGCCTTGCGTTTTTTTGCATTTGCGGTTTGCGTTTTTTTTGCATTTCAAAATCGCCTTGCGTTTTTTTTTGCATTTGCTGTTTGCTTTTGTTTGCAGCTTGCGTTTTTTTGCTACCGAGGTATGCCATTGTATATGCTCTACGTATGTGTTTTCGCAGTAGCACTAGATTCTTTACGTACATGTGCAACTACAAACATAATCAAAGGAATCATTCGGAAGGGTATGGCCCGGGTGCAATGCATGGTTTAGATGCTAGTTGAGGCCGCAGAGGCCCGGCGATGGAACTTCAGACTTATGGCTATGCAGCGCAGTCTATAGAGTGGGATAGTTTTAGGAAACGTGCAAAGCCAACGCTTGGCCTTGAGTGCAGACACATGTCAAGACATATATTTCTCACATATGCAAACACAGGGTGCCAGTGCTCCGCGGGAACTTGCCAACCAATTCGGACCAACAAAAACGCTCAGGCGCAGGAGCAGGTGCACAATTAATGCCAGCACGCTACACGGCGCCGGGGAGATGCAACCAAAATGCAAAGAAAACGCCAGGCACCGGGGAGATGCAAAAAAATGCAAGCAAAATGCAAGGCGCAAACGCCAGTGCAAGGAAAATGCAAAAAAAATGCAAAAAAACATTGAAAAAACAAGAAAAACGGCCCAGCACCAGGACCAGGCTTCGGCCCCGCCCACCCCGGCGCGGGGGGCCAGGCGGGGTCAGGGCCCGGCTTGGGGCCGGGCCAGGGGCGGGCCGGACCCGTGCCCGGCCTGGAACCGGGCGGGGTTTGGGGGAGGAGGGGGGGAGGGGGGGGAGGGGGCGGAGGAGGGGTAAGGGGGTGGGTGGGGGGGCCATCCCATGATCCGCAGTTGCCTACAGGCCTAGTGTCCTCGTAAGATAGTGTCTGAGTCTCAGTAGCGAACCCAGAACCTAGTGACCATGGCACGTCGTCTAGTTGCAAAACCTCACAACTGTCAATTTCGACACACTGTGGAATGACGTATTGGCTGAACACACAAAGCAAGTCAGCAACGACCAGGGACAAATCTGGATTGCTTGAGGAAAGCCGGAGAATGCAGCCAAGATTCAGGTTCATCTTCAAAGCCACAAGGAAGATTTGAGGCAGCAGGCAAGCATTGTAGCGGGATTACCCACACATGCAAACCAGGAACACCAAGAACACATAGACGCCAAAAGAATGCAAACCGGGAACACAAAACAAATGCAGACTCCAAAAGCATGAAAACCCGGAACACAAAAAAAATGCAAAGACAGAATAAATGCAAACACAAAACACAAAGAAAATGCAAACCCGGAACACAAAAAAAAAGCAAAGACAGAAAAAATGCAAACACAAAACACAAAGAAAATGCATAGGCCAGAAAAACGCAAACCCGCAACACAAAATAAATGCAAACATAATGCAAAACATAATTCTGGACACCCACCCAGTCTGTAGCCCAAAGATTCTTATAAGTGTAGAAGAAGTTTTTTACGAAGCAGGTTCCTTACTCTTATTGCCCTCACTCGCTTTCATCACTTTGATCGACGGATTTCGGATGTGACCATTGGGTTGCACACATGCCAGCTATTTGGATTGCTGTCTTGACAGGGGCGGCTGCATGTCGAGGTTGTTGATGTTTTTCGCTTCCTTATACGCTCAGTTTGCGCGTTCGGGTTCTCAGCTTCCGGATCTCCTCTGTCTTCTATTCAAAGGATCAAAAGTAATTAAAGATATACCTACGTATAACCCTCACCGAGGTACCGATAACCCTTCTCACCGACTAAGTCCACTGATCCTCTAAGTACTATAGACTCAGAGTTCCGAGTCAAGCTAGGTTCACGACCCTAAACTGGCTTCTTGTTCAGGGACTTAATGCAAGTTACCACAATAAGGAAACTATATATTGCTTGCTATAGATGCCTATTGTGGTAAATCAAGTTAAATCTCTTAACAAGGACCCAGCACACCCCCCAGAGACTCCAATATCCCTTAACTTGGGAATATTCCTTAAATCATATTAGGGATCCTACTATAATTTGAAGAATATCCCTGAATTAAGGGATATTGGAGTCTCTGGGCCTCGCAAGCCACATGCTTCACTCCCATCGCCATGGCTTTATGAAGGTGTCTCATGAAGAGGAGTAAGCCGCAATAAAGACCCCGAAGTTCATCCCTCACCCTCAACCTAAGCCAGAAATCACCGAAATCCCAAATGCCCTCCTACATCCCTAGATATCCTGCGCCAAGCAGAGACACGTAAGGCTGGCCTGCAAATCTCCTGGCTCTCTAGGGCGTAGATCCAACCCTAAACCCTTAACCCTTAACCCTTCTAGGATGCCCAGTAGTACCCTTATTCCCTTTTTGTAGTCCTAGGCTCCTTATAAAGTTACCCAATACCAAAAAGCGTGGCCTTTTTATTCTTAGGTTACTGGGTATCCTAGCCTTAAACCCTAAACTCAAACCATTTTGGCCCCACCCACCAAAGTCCCAGACTCGAGGCCTTCCTTATAGAGCTTTAAAGCGTCAACCGCAATTCACAAGCAACCCCTATGAGTCCAAAGAACCCAATAGTTTGCATTATCCGTTTCATGTATTCGGCTTCATTTGATCGTCCTGCACTTGAACTCTTAGGGAAAGAGCCGAACGCAGGCCCTTTGCGATGTGCTTGTGCCTTTGGAGACGATTCTCGAGTGTGTCGGCCTCAGTGATCCGTTGCCACTACTGCTACTGCTGGTGCTACTGCTACTTTGACTTGGACTTCTACTTCTCTGCTTTTCTACTTTTCTACTTCTGCTGCTAGTCATCAAAATAGCCTCAACAGTGTAAATATTGTTGAATTTTTCAGAGCAATAACAATGTTCATAGACTTGGGAGTCTAGTATAGGGGCCTAAATTATTACCTGTACTATTTTGGGGGTTCCTTATAATTATAGTATAATGGGCCCCAAAACCACACAGAGACTCCAATATCCCTTAATTAAGAAATATTCCTTAAATTATAGTAGGATCCCAACTATAATTTAAGGAATATTCCTTATAAGGGATATTGGAGTCTCTGGGATTATAGTATAATGGGCCCTTAAAACCCTATTCTAATTGTTGAGGCCCCTACATTAAGCCAGGATGTTAGGCTCGGCATTGCGGATCCGGAGGTCCCACAGCACCCATTAAAGTGAAGGCTCAGAAGTGTTTAGGGTTTGGGGGTTTAGGGTTTAGGGGTTTAGGGGTTTAGGGTTTAGGGGTTTAGGGTTTAGGGTTTTAGGGTTTAGGGGTTTAGGGTTTAGGGGTTTAGGGTCTAGGGGTTTAGGGTTTAGGGTTCGGGCTCGAGGCTGCAATTAGATGAAACCAGCCCTTCGTAAATCTCATCTCAAACGATAAGGACCCCGTGTGCAACTTGACAGGTATTCCTGCGGGGTACGCATTACCCGGAACCTAAACCCGTCAATCCAAAACCCTTGACCTGAGAGAAACCCTTAAAGGAACCCGAAAGGCATGTCAAATCTGGACTTCCGACTGTGACATGGAATAAGCGGGATGAGATACCCTCAAGTCTTCGCTGGCGAAGACCCCAGAGGCTCCAATATCCCTTAATGAAGGAATATTCCTTAAATTATAGTAGGATCCCTAATATGATTTCAGGAATATTCCTTAATTAAGGGATATTGGAGTCTTTGGGACCCCTTGGCCTTCAATGACGCTAAACCTCAAACTCACAGGTATTGTCTTATCCCAAACCCTAAACTCGAAGCCCTTCTAGACTTGTTTGTTGAGGAACCTTTAAAACCGGATCGTATGAAGGAAGCCTCAAAGTAACAGAAGAACCCCAGCAACAATAGCGCGCCAGGGCGCCAAAAGCCACTGTCCCACGACAGTCGAGCCCTCAGTCTCGGCCTTCTTCGGTTTAGAGTTTAAAGGATGGGTTAGGGTTGTCGATGATTTGGGTGGGCAAGCCCTAAACCATAAACCTCAAGCTGTTTAGGCTTGTTTTTGGGAGCCAGGGATGTCACAAAGTGCATTGGTTTGGATTCGAGGTTTTGGGTCTGTGCATCTAGGGCTTCGGGTGTTTTCGGTTCGGCGCCAAGTATTCAGCTTACATCGGATTTTTTGTTATCTTAAAACTTGAAGGGGTCATCTAAGATATTGTGATGACTGGGAATTGGTTGATGTTATCCTCGAACCTTACATAAACCTCAAACGCCCACAAACTGAACCATGTAGGATCGGTTGTGTTTTCATTGCGAAAGCATCTGTTTTGCCTTCTGAAACTCCCATGTTGCCTTAGGTATGTTGTTAAATGCTCAAGGCTTTAGATAATTTGGCTCTTCGAAGCGGCAGCAATCAATGTAGAGGACTGGAGCCTACAAGTACGGGCGGGGTCGCAACTATGAGTTTCCAGAAGACTTTAGCCTCAAGATACCTACTTGCTGACTGCAGATCCCATGCCTTTCCTCAGTATTTTGCGGCTGCATTGTGCCACGCGATGTCTGGTGTTGGCCATGATTCGTCATGTCTGCCCGGGTTGGACATCCCGGACGACGGCTTGTCCGTCGTTCCACTGACCCATTCGGAGTTATCCGTTTATGGGGAGGATGCCGTGGAGGTTCGTTCTCGGGCTGTTCCTGGAGGCAGCTCCGTTGTGGTCTTTGACTCGAATGGGCGCGGCCCGGGTCCCTGGGCCGGGAAACGTGGGTTCTTCCCTGACTTTGGTTTGGGAGAGGGTCAGTATGTGTACATACGAAGTTCATATCAGGAACCCTAACAAAGGCCCAAGGTTTCTTAATCAGGTTCCTACATTAACCCTAAACTCTAAAACCCTAAGCCCCTTTATAGAACTCTTATATACCCCTTCAAAGGAGCCTACTTAACCCTAAAGCCGAACTTACTACAACCTAACCCCGAAGTTCTAACCCACTGAACCCTAAATTGTAGCATCCTTAAGGGACGGGGGTCCAAGGGGGGTAAATAGCCTGGTGATCCCTGATTCTCCCTAGTACTCCCTAAGGTTCCCTTACAGTCCCCTAAGGATTCCTTATACCCTCCCCCCTTGAACCACCCTCCCTTAAGGATCCTATAACTAAACCTCAACCTATCAAGCTCTGAAATCTAACTGACTAAACCCTGAGCCTCCGCCTGCAGAATAGAGGGTCGCCTCTGAGAGATCGAAGAGCTCTGGAAAAGGGTTTAGGGTTGAGGGTTTAGGGTTTAAGGGTTTGGGATTTAGGGTTTAAGGGTTGGGGGTTTAGGGTTTAAGGGTTGGGTGTTTAGGGTTTAGGGGCTTGGGTTTAGGGTTTGGGTTTAAAGTTTAGGGCCCTGAACATAACTCAGCACGATAACCCTAAACCCTAACCCTAAACCCTAACCCTAAACCCTAACCCTAAGGCTGTAAGGACTCATTTTTTAAGGCTTTTGGGCTTAAAGACCATATTACTTAAGGCTTTTGGGCCGGGTAATTTTTCAGGCCGCGGTTTTGGAACAGCTCAGGCGACGGTGTGCGCTTGCTCGACAAGCTGCGCTGGGACCTGCGGGTGTCTTGCCTTCCATGCTTCGATTTCGGGACTAGAGTTCAGGGTTTAGGGTGTAAAGGGGCTTTTGGTTTTCAGGGTTTATGTTTCCGGGTTTTAGGGCTTTAGTGTGATAGCTTTGCCTTGAAGTCGGAAGGAGTGTAGGCATAAGGTGGTTAGGATGCCGGGTCTAGGGTTAGTCAGAAGCCACACTGTAAGAAGGGCCTATGTGGGTTGTATAGGAGTTGAGTTGGCTCCGAGGGTTGATAAGGGTCTCTAAGGGTTTGTATGAGGGTTTAGGCGGACGTGTGATCGCATACTCTGATAGTTTTTCCAGAACTACAGCAGACGCGGCGACATCCCAAAACTGAGAGCCTGTTCTACTTTGTTCAGGCCGCGAGCATAGCCAAAGTTGTGTGGAGATGCAGTGTGCAGCAGGGTTGTGTGCGGACCTGAAGTGACATGGTTTAGGGTTTAGAGGTTTAGGGTTCAGGGCTTGTTGCAGGAGGGTTTATTTGCCAGGGGTCTGATGCACGGCCACTTGACTTTGAAGCGATCTTCTCTTTGCCCCGTTTACTCAGCTCCTTGATTCTCCAAGCAGTCGTAAGTCTGACGCAGACAGGCAGTTTCGATACTGTGGCCTGAATAAAGACCGATTACCAACATGGTTCCTTGGGTTTTTAGTATTTTAACCATCATACGCAGCAACCTAATAGCATGGCAACTGGCACAGATCTCGGAGACCCTACAATAAACCCAAGCAGAACAACAACATCTGAAGAAGGTTCAGATCTCGGAGACACTTAAACCCTAAACCCTAAGCCAGAAAACCCTACAATTACAATCTACGCCCGACAACCCTGAACCCTAAAGCCCTGGCCTGAAGAAAGGTATAACTAGGATGCCCAGTAGTACCCTTATTCCCTTTCTGTAGTCCTAGGTTCCTTATAAAGTTACCCAATACCAAAAAGAGAGGCCTTTTTATTCTTAGGTTACTGGGTATCCTAGATATGGACCCCTAGGTATATACCCTGAATATAGCCATTATATACCCATTATACAGCCCAATATAGGGTAGGGGTCCCCATTAAGGGTCCCTCCTTAGAAAGGTGGCCTCGGGCGCAGATCTCGGAGACCATGATAAGAGGCACCTGGCCAAGCATGAGGCGCCTTTGTTGGGTGTAGGGCTTAGGGGTTTAGGGTTTAGGGCGCCCTTCCCAGAGCCTCCAAAACCCCTTAATTAAGGAGTATACCTCAAATTATAATAGGATCCCTTATATGATTTAAGGTGCATTCCCTAATTAAGGGGTTTTGGAGGCTCTGGGTTCTAAAGGGTTCAGGGTTTAGGGTGTATGAGGTTAGGGTTCAGGGCGTCCTTCTTGATCAGGGATTATGGCATAGTGTTTTGGGGCTTTGTGGTATATCAGCTTTTTTGGTGTATATTGATTTTCTATCATACCATCATACAGTAGAAGCTGGAAAGTTGGAATGTCATTATCGTAACCCCTTTAAGGTAAATTATAGGGGATCCTACCATGAAACCATATTCCAACTTTCTGGAGTTCCCTTTAAAAGCCTAGCTTTTGTTGGACTGGGGTGTTCAGCCCCTAAGATGAACCATGTAAAAGGAGCCTCAGAAACTGAGACTTAGCTAGGATGCCCAGTAGTACCCTTATTCCCTTTCTGTAGTCCTAGGTTCCTTATAAAGTTACCCAATACCAAAAAGAGAGGCCTTTTTATTCTTAGGTTACTGGGTATCCTAGCTTAGACAGCCAGCATTAACGACCTCCCATGATAAAAGGATCCACTAGTGCTTACACGCAACCCAGCAGAAAAGAGCCCAACACCCTTTAGGTAAGGAATATACCTTAAATCATGTTATCTAGGGATCCTACTAAAATTTGAGGCATATTTTTTCCTTATGTAAGGGCTTCTGGAAGGCCTGGGTATAACTTCCACAGGCTGCTGACCTGCTCGGCCTCGGCACAGGCCCTCTATGCTGCCGTTTCCTCTTTGGCCGCACCGGATGCCGCCGCACGGATGAAGGAGGGAAAGCAGCAGTGCGCCGTGTGCCCAGAAGCTGAGGGTGGTTCCTTCAACAATTTATTGAGGGTTCGTTGAGGGTTTGGTGTGTCGGCTTTTAGAGTTCAGGTTGTTCTGAGTGTCGTGGCTGGCTGAAATGAGAGCAAGTCTCAACCCCGTCCAAAACAGACATAGTAAAGATCCTAAGCCCTAAACGACAAGTTCCATGCCCAGGTTAATGCATCGGGCCATCAAGAGCAAGCACTCTAAGACCTACTATGGCTTGGGTCTGGGGTTGTTCAGGGTCTCCATCGAGGTCATTACACGGAGTCTACTAGGATGCCCGGTAGTACCCTTATTCCCTTTTTGTAGTCCTAGGTTCCTTGGAAAGTTACCCAATACCAAAAAGAGAGGCCGTTCTATTCTTAGGTTGCTGGGTATCCTAGTCTAAGATTCCGGGATTCAGAGTTCAGCTATAGGAGGCCTGAGTTATTAGTATTCTTCCCACATACAGCTACATAGTCTGAACTTTACCAAAACCTTAGTCTAGCTATTTACACTTTCTGTACGGGACTCATTAGACCTTTTTAATCCTCTATCGACCACCCTTCAAAACCAACAGAATCCTTAACCTCAAGTCTTAAACCCTACATCCTAGACCTCTAATCCTAACGCAATAAACACGAAGCCTTAATTCCTAAAACCTGAGCCTTAGACCCCACTTAACCCAGAGCCCCCATAGACTCCAATATGCCTTAATTAAGGAATGTTCCTTAAATCATATTCGGGATCCCATTATAATTTAAGGTATATTCCTTAAATCATCTTCGGGATCCTATAATAATTTACGGTATTTTCCTTAATTAAGGGATATTGGAGTCTGTGTGGTTTTTCCATAAACACGTACCCCTGAATCCCAAAACCTTAGCCTTAAACCTTAAACCCCTAGACCCCTAGAACCCTAAACCCTAAACCTTAAACCTTAAACCCTAAACCCCTAAACCCCCTAACCCCTAAACCCCTAAACCCTAAACCCGGGGAAAAGAGCCCATAAAAAAAAAAAAAACCTAAACCCCCCTGAACCCCAGAGCCCCCCCAGAAAAGGTCCGATCTCGGCTTTACTTCAGCCACAACTCACAGCTCTCAGGAGCGAAGATGAAGGGGGGGGAGTTTTTGGGGTTCCTTTTAAGGGTTCCTTTAAGGGTTCCTTTTAAGGGTTCCTGTAAGGGTTTAGGGTTTTAGGGGTTTAGGGGTTTGGGGTTTGGGTTTTAGGGTTTAGGAGGTTTAGGGGTTTAGGGGGTTTAGGGGTTTAGGGGTTTGGGGTTTGGGGTTTGGGGGTTTAGGGGGTTTAGGGGTTTTAGGGGTTTAGGGGTTAGGGGTTTGGGGTTTAGGGGTCTAGGGTTTAGAGTTTGGGGGTTTAGGGGGGTATTTTTTGGGTTCGCGGTCTTAAAGCTTTGGTATTGTGGGTACCCAGAGACCCCAATATCCCTTAATTGAGGAAAATACCTTAAATTATTACAGGATCCCGAAGATGATTTAAGGAATATACTTTAAATTATAGTAGGATCCCTAACATGATTTAAGGAATATTCCTTAATTAAGGGATATTGGAGTCTCTGGGGTGGGGGGGGGTTCGCAGTCTTAAACCCCATGCCTCCAGGGACCTTATTATGGGGTCCTTAAGGGGTCTAGGGCCCTAACTATGAGGTCCTTGGAGGGATAGGGTAAAGCTTTAGTATTTTGGGTAGTTGTCAGAAAAATTGTTCCCCCTTTTTGGGCACCCTCAATATTGGGCGTCGCATTACCATAAGGACCCCCCCAAAAGGGGCCACAATTTTGACAACTACCCGTTTAGGACTTTCTTGGTTTAAGGCCTGTTGGGGTCTAGAGATGACTCAAGGCTAAGCCGTCATCTGTTTAGGGGTTTAGGGTTAGGGGTTTAGGGGTTTAGGGGTTTCGGGTTTTGGGGTTTAGGGGTTTAGGGTTTAGGGTTTTTAGGGGTTTAGGGGTTTAGGGGTTGGGGTTTAGGGCTTACGGGTTGAGGGGTTTAGGGGTCGAGGGCTTGTTGTCTAATGTCTGGTGCTTAGAGGCTTAGCATGTTTCAGGGCCCGGGGTCTTACCTTTTTGGGTTGTATATGACTTATTTAGTCCGCAGGGTTTTTGGAATTTCTGTCTGGAGGTTTCAGGGCGTATGGTTTACGTAGAGTCAAGGCTTTAGAGTGGTTTCCGGAACAAAGAAGCTCGAACACGTAGTCATACCGTACTTCTGCCTGGTGTACTTACAGTTTCGAACCACTGAAAACGCCCTTCGTTTGTCTGGCCTGTAGATTGCCGAAGGGTCTTTGGGCTTCCGCTTCCTATGGGTTGAAACCGAGAGGGTCCAAGTACCCAAATAGTAGGGTTTCAAGGTCCATAAACCATTCAGAGTAAGGATTTTGGGGACCTGAAACCCTACTATTTGGGTACTTGGACCCTCTGGGAAAGTTACTATCCGCCTGTGTCCCCTCCCTAGTACGCTCAATGTGCACCTTCTATTCCTCCTTCTCATATGGGAGTTTTTGAAAATGGGGGACCCTAATGTAGTACCCTAAATAGTAGGATCCTTAGTAGAAGGACCCCAAAATAAGGTACCCCTAATTGCCGGAAACCCCCATATATCTCGGGTACCGCGCTAACGCCCCTAAACCTGTAGCCCTGAACCCCTAACACTGCACCCTGAAAATGTTCAGTAGATGTCTTCTCACCTTCCAATTGGGGTTCAGGAATGCGGGTTCATGGTTTTTCAATCTGCGACCTGGGTTCTCCTCAGGAAGTAGTTTCGTGCTATCACCCTTGGGGACCAAATGACCCTCATAAGTAGTGGCCCTATACCCTTATACTATGAATCCCTATAAGGTATATGAACCTTAAAACCTTTTGAGGTTCATTTCGTCCTTAAGGACTGCATGGCTTGCAAGGGGTATTTACAACCATAGAAGGGCCGGTGTTTAGGCCGTAGGAATGGGGCTTAACTGCTGTGGACGTGAGGATACGGTTTCCCAGAGAGCCCAATAACCCTTAATCAAGGAGTATGGCTTAAAATATATAGGGCTTCATAATATGATTTAAGCCATATTCCTTAATTTAGGGGAATTGGGCTCTCTGGTTTGGGATGCAGTTTTAAAAAGAAGGAGAGGTTCGTGGCGGCCCAGAAGGGCTCCATGATCAGGCCAGGTTATTGTAAAGCTGCATGGTTTTGGGTTTATTTTAAGCTTTAGGGTTTAGGGTTTAGGGTTTAGGGTTTAGGGTTTAGGTAAGGTTCAGGATTTAAAATTATGAAAGTGGTTTCAACCGACTGAACATTGGCAGGCTGGCGACGACCATTGGTGAGGTGAAAGCTGGCTGTTGAGCATTACAGCCGGCCTCTGATCATCCTACTGAGGATCTACACCTCGACCATTGATCAAATCCAGGCAGCTGGGATCCTTATTATAAGGACTTCAAAATAAGGTACCCCTAAACCTTTATGGAACCCTTATAGTACCCCTTTAAAAGATCCCTTTAAAGGTACCCCTAATTTTCGGAAACTCCCATTTCGGACCTCCACACTGCTATTATCTTCGCTGCCGCTGCCGTCTCTGGTGCCTTGCATTTTCGATTTCGGGCTCTTTAGGAATTGAAACCCTTCTTTGGGAAGCCCCAGTGAAGGCTACCGATTGCAAGGAGCTGATCCATGTGATCGGCAACATCGGCCGGCTCATCACTTTGGAGCCTCAGATTCTGTCGAATGAAGACCTGGCTGAAGCCGATGAGTTTGCATTCTGGGGTTTAGGTTGCAGGTCAAGACTGGGGCTCAGGGATTTGGAGTTAGAGATTGGGTTTGAGGGATTCCGGTTAGGCCCTATAAACCCTCAACCCCCAAACCCTCAATCCTAAACCCTACACCCTAAACCTTAAAGGGAACTCCAGAAAGTTGGAATATGGATTAATGGTAGGATCCCCTATAATTTACCTTAAAGGGGCTACGATAATGATATTCCAACTTTCTGGCTTCTACTGTAGACCCTCTTCCTAAATCCTAAAGACCCATCCCTAGAATCTCAGCCCTAAGCCTCAAATCCCACACCTTAAGCCCTAAGTCCGGCCTCAATCGAGGCTCTCTAGACCTTCTGCGGAATAGAAATTGGCCCTAAAAAAAACCCTATAGATCCCTTTTAAAGAACCCTATAGATCCCTTTTAAAGAACCCTTTAAATTTAAAGAACCCTATAGATCCCTTGTAAAGAACCCTATAGATCCCTTTAGAGAACCCTATGGGGTCGTTGCCTCAGTTGCGACCTGCCAGGCCTCCTCCATTTGATGCTGACGGGCCTTCTACACTCCAAGGCCGCCCCAGTTCTAAGTAGGTTGCAGTTCGAATTGGGAGTTTCCGAAAATAGTGGTACCTTATTTTGGGGTCCTTAGATTAAGGATTAAGTAGCTGAATCAGGGCTGTAAGTAGATGCGAGTATAGTTCCTAAACCCAGACGGTCCAAGTACCCAAATAGTAGGGTTTTAGGTCCCCAAAATCCTTACGCTGAATGGTTTTTGGACCTTGAAACCCTAACCCGACTATTTGGGTACTTGGACCCTCTGGGAAACCCTAAACCCTCAACCCTAGTTCCTCAACCCGAAGCCCTAAGCCGTTTGGAGGCCGGGGGCTCGCGGCTTCTATGGTTGAGCTTTAGGCTCCAGTGTTTTAGGATTCCAGGTAGGACTTTCATTGTGGCATCGGGTAGTTTATCGCCAGGTCAAAACGGCTAACCTTCGTTGGCCTTAAGCATTTTCGATTTTTGATTTCTGATAGCATTGTTCGTACTGTTCTAAGGTCGGCAGTTTTTGTGTTTGATTGTATTATTCGTCATGTTCTTCTTATGGGTCTGAAACCCTGGATCGCTTCTAAGGTTTAGGGTTTCGGGTGTAGGGTTTAGGGTCTGAAGGATCAGGGCACTTAGTAAGTAGGGTTACAAGCAAGGCAACTATAGTCATATCTACTTATGACCTTAATTGAGATACTTATAACCCTACCTACTAAGTCCCATGATCCTCCAAGTAGGGTCTTTAGTCTTTAGTGAGGCCCATACAGTTGGAACATGGGTTTGAGATGATAGTTCTAGGTTCCTGTACACTTTACCTTTAGAGCCTGAAGAGAACAAAGTTCCAACTTTCTGGCTTCTACTTTAGAGCTTGATGAGTTTTTGGGACTTCAAGTGTAGCGGCAGAGCTCAATCGCAGATCAACTTGCGGGTGATTGGCAAACATCGCCGTAGGCAGCAGTGATCAGGACTCATGACATCTTCAACGGATCAAGCTCAAGATCCGTCAGCCCCAACATATGAAACCCGAACCCTAAACCCATACAGCCTAATTTCAACCCTAACAAGGGCACTGTAGTTCTAGTTATACCAAACCTCCTAAACAACAACCCCTAAACCCTACCTTAAACCCCTGCACCTAAAGCCCCTACAACCAGAAAGCTTGCCGGGATTCACCTAAACCCCTAAACCCTAAACCGGAGGCAAGCCCGGCAAAGCCGGCGAGTTCGCCACCGGATTGTTCACCGGAAGCTTCTGCCGAGGCCGAGGGTGTGGGGTTTACTTAGATCCCCAACACCTAACCTGTAAACTTTGTGGGTTCTTATACTTTAATGTAGGAACCGGAAAGTTTAACCTTTTATTTCTGTGGCTTATTGGGGTAGTAAGTTTATTCAGGGTGTCTTTAGGATTTACAGCAGGGTTTATTTCGGGTTTAGGGTTTAGGGAGGCCGCTTAGCAGTGCCATGATGGGGACCCTTGGAAGGAACCTTATTGTTACTGTTGCCCTAGGTTTAAGAGGTCTGGAGTTCTGGGATTTAGGGCTTACCTTAAGGACGAAATGAACCTCAAAAGGTTTTAAGGTTCATATACCTTATAGGGATTCATAGTATAAGGGTATAGGGCCACTGCTTATGAGGGTCATTTGGTCCCCAAGGTAGGGGTTTGGAAGCTTCTGCCGAGGCCGTCTCGCAGTGCAAGAAAGGGGGGATTCGGAGCTTTTTGGGTTTTTGGGTTTTTGGGTTTAGGGTTTAGGGTTTAGGGTTTAGGGTTTTGGGTTTTGGGTTTTGGGTTTAGGGTTTTGGGTTTAGGGTTTAGGGTTTTGGGTTTAGGGTTTAGGGTTTAGGGGTTTTTCCGAACCCAGAGACCTGCATGTTAAGGGCCGCTTCTTCAGCTCTTTTGAGGGGTTCAGGGTTCATTAAGGTTTACGGCTTAGGGCCACAAGAGGTCCCCTTGGGGTTACACATTCATAAGCCTTAACATAAAGGCCCGAAGAGTTAGTAGTACAATGCCTTCAGGTTGCGTATATTCAAATGGGTGATTGTCAAAATTATGGTCTTTTTGGGGTATCCTAAATCATAGGTGCCGTATTATAATAAGGACCCAAAAAAAGCGACCCCAATTTTGACAACCACCCAAATATATCAGAGTAACCCAAAGTCTCCATGTTCATTGTGAAGGCACCCTAGAAAGGAACCCTGTTGCAACTATTATCACCGGGTTTAGGCTTTAGGGGTTTGTGGTTCAGGGGTTGAGTGTTAAGGTCAGGGTTTAGTAGGGTTTATGGCACCCTTCAAAGGAACATTCTAAATAGTAAGGCCCCTCTACTATCCAGAGACTCCAATATCACTTAATTACTACCGCAGGACGAAAGTTCGCCATACAACATGAAGTTGAGAGATCACCACATGTTCACCCCTTTTCCCCCGTAGAATCCTAGCACAACCCCGCAAAGCTCTCCGCCGGAAACTATATAATAGTATAAATTTATTCCCGGAAAGTAATTACTCCGCCACTCTGGCCACGTAAAATGGGTCTTGGGGCTCTCCGCCTCTCCGCGGCAAACATCTATGTTATAAGCTGCATGTCGAAACTTTCGGCCCGGTGGTGTAAGGAATATACCTTGAGTTATAGTAGGATCCCTGATATGCTTTAAGGCCTTTCCCTAATTAAGCGATATTGGAGTCTCTGGGATGTATGAGAGGCCAGGACATCTATCGGTCCTGGAGGACCTGCTTTTTTCAGAGGCCCCCCGAACAACGAGTAGACAGAACACTTGAGGGTTTAGGGTTCAGTTTTGGTTTTAGGGGTTAGAGTGTTAGTCTCGGATTTCAGGGCAGATCGGTTAAGGTAGTTTCCGTCAGCTATGACTATCCAGGTTCCTGAGTAGTACCATTTTGCCCTTTCTATTTTGGGGTCCCATTACCAAAGCCGAATACCAGGAAAAAGGCAACCCTTTATGTTTAGGGGTCCCTCAGGAACCTAGCTGTTCAAGGGTTCCCTATCTGTATTCAGTATTCCACAGACCGACAATCTGTCCCGGTTCCCTCAACAAACCGGGTTCTTCCTCAAGAACTTCATTCAATTTGCAACTGAGGAGCGAACCATACTACTTACTATAGGTCCCTTAAGATGTTAGCATAAGTTACCCCAAGCAGGAAACAGTATTACTAACTATAGATCCTTAATGTGGTAAACATAAATTAGTTTCCTCAGCAGCGTAAAACCCTAAACGCTCATTTCTACCATTAACCTTCACAGTAGAAGCCAGAAAGTTGTAACATGAGTTTAGGAGGATTAGTGCTAGGATACCTTATCCTTTACCTTAAGGGCATGAGGATACTAATGTTCCAACTTTCTGTCTTCTACCATATGGGTGGGTGTCAAAATTAAGGTCCCTTTTTGGGTACCCTAAATAATAGGTGCCGTATTATACTTGGGAACCAAAAGGGACCATAAGTTTGACAACCACCCATCTAAACCCTAATCCAGTAAACAGAGGGCCGGATGCAGGTGGCCAGTAGCTTCAGCAGCGATGCCGAGGGTCGTCGTCCTCAGAACCATGCTTAGGGTGTACCTGGGTTTGGAGTACCGTACTTGAATATTCTTTTGGTACCTGTTCCTTAAAGGAACCATTATGAAGTAAAAGTCTATACTTTTTGCACCCTGGTTACATCAAAGTCCAGTGTAGGGTTGAGGGCTTTGATTGTTGGGTTTGGGGGCCTGGGGATTTGGGGCTTATGGTTTGGCATTGAGGGTTTATGGTGGTTTCGTGATTCCGAGTTTGTTCTAGGGTAAAGGGGTGTGAAGGGTTTTGGGGTTTGGGGTTAAGGGGTATGAGTTAGAAGCTGCCCCCACCCTGTAATAGTGACTATAAAAGGATTATATTAGGGCCCTATTATATTCCTATTATACCACTATTACAGGGTGGGGGCAGCTTTTAAGGTTTAGGGGTGTGAGGGATTGAGCGCGTTTGGTTTTGAGGCTCAGGGCATTGCTTGCGCAACGGGCTTCATGAAGCCCTGTTGGTTTGCGAGGATATATGTAGATATATACATGTTGTAATGGAGGTTTGCTTAAAGACTCGGGGCTTATATGGCCTAGCCCAAGTTTAGGGCCCAGATTCAATATCTGTTTTGCAAGCTGCGCTGACGCCTGCAGGCTCGTATTGCCTGCGTGGGTGGTGCTGTGCAGGAGGGGCAGCATATGATATATATAGGGGCCTGAAGAATTACCAATACTATTTTGGGGGTTCCTGAATATAATTATAGTATAATGGGCCCCAAAACCCTATTCTAATTAATAAGGCCCCTATAGTAGTGTTTGTGTGGGGAGTTGGGTGAACCCTGGGTGTTCAAGCCCTGGCACAGACCATACGGTTGAAGGAAGCTTGCAAGCATTGCAACGACATCCCTCGCCCATCCGCTGAAGCCTGACCTTGTTCTTACCATGTCGGCAAACCACTCTAAACTGTCAATCCTAAACCCGCCGAGGTCTTTCAGCTTCGGGATACCCTGCGCCGCAGCCAGAGGTGGCACGGTCCGGCGACATTTATGACCCGAAAGTTTTGAAAGGGCACAACCTAAACCCCCAACACCAAGCCCGATACCGTAAACCTTAAACTTTCCGTTCCGGCAGACCGACATAGGGTTTGATGAGGCAGAAGAACCTTAAAACAGTAGGTACCCATAACATCTCTTGAAAAGGAGCAGCAACCCAGAAAATCCTCATGACATCCGTATCAACCGCCCTGTCCAACAGATTGGAGGTATCTGGTCACAGGTTTCGGAATTCAGGACCGACAGGACAAGAAGGTGCAACTCTGCGACGATACGACATTGGGCCATCTCCGGGTTAGGATCTGTATTACACCCATGAACCCCAAACCCGACAATTCTAAACCCTGTGCTAATGCCTCTAATTCCCTAGCACCCGGAGAGATCTGCACCTGTGTGTCGTGGGTTGTGATCAACAACACCTCTCATCGCCCAACGGCGACTTGCCTCAGAACGACCCTTATCCCGGAATGTTTTGGGGCTGAGTTGCTTTGGGATGTATGTACGGCTTGACTGCTCTTTTGGAGGTGCGCAGCCTCTACGCGCAGCGTCTCGGTTTCTTGTCGCACTTTATCGCGCGCGACTCAGCAAGAGCTCACGGTCTGAAAGTCCGGTTGCATACTTGTGCACCGAAAAAGCACGACGAACTTGCACAGCCAAAAAGCATGGTAAGTCGGTCCACTCAGTATAATTCCCTATCCCTCCAAGGACCTCATAGTTAGGGCCCTAGACCCCTTAAGGACCCCATAATAAGGTCCCTAGAGGCATAGGGATTGTGTTTCTGCACAACAAACTGGCTCACATCAAGGCGTCCAGGACGCGGCCGTACCGACACGGAGTACTTATAAGATTAGTAGGTGAATAAGTAAAGTGACTACGGTTATGTTTACGGGTGATCCTAATCAGGGTGCTTATGTAAGTTGTTCTGAATCTGTAAGCAGTTGGGTTGGTTTGACTTCGTTCACCGGCTCTGTCCAATCGTAAGGGTCCGTGTACCCTTTGTTGTGCGCCTGGCCAGAACTAGTTTGCAAGGCCAGAGAACCGTAAACCCTAAACCCTATAGCTGCCCCGTGACTCCAACATCCCTTAGTTAAGGAATATTTCTTAAATCATGTTAGGGATCCTACCATAATTTAAGGAATATTCCTTAACTAAGGGATATTGGAGTCTCTGGGTACGAGTACTTGGACCCGCATGATTCCAGCAGGCTCAAATTACCCGAAGACAGCAGGCCCGCGAGTGCCAAAAGATACTTAGAGGATCATGGGACTTAGCATGTATAGTTACATATAACTTTTAGTCCTACTTACGCAGTTTCCTGATCCTCCAGGTATGCTATCAAGTAACCAGCTTTTCGAGTAGTTTGTTGTTTCAAGGCTTCCTTTTGTGGTTCGTCTGAAGGGCTCCTTTTAAGGGTTAATGTGGGGTTTCCGTAAGGCTCAACTGTGTATTATAGAGTAGGATCTGTATAAACCGCTTTCAGCTTCTTCTTTAGACCATTTTCAAACCCTAGGCCCTGGACTCCTTCGGCCTTACCCCGAATTTTGGCCGTAAGCCCGAAACTCGAAGCGACTTGGGTTAGATCGGGTGTAGTTAGGGGTTTTGTAGTTCAGGTTTTAAAAACCTCAAGCCGAAGCCCTAGACATTTCCAAAAATCACACTATCCCTCCAAGGACCTCGTAGCTAGGGCCCTGGACCCCTTTAAGGACCTCATAACAAGGTCCCTGGAGGCATAGGGGAAGCCCTAGACATTAACAAAAATCCAGAAACAAATCGCAAGGTACGTCTCTGGCGGAAGCGTTCGGATGCATCACTGCGAGTGACCTGCGACGTCTCGCCAACAGGCCTGGACTTGAGGACTTTACGTTTTCCCTGAAGGGTGACCGTACCCAAATAAGCATGTTCAGACCCTAAGGGACCGTGTGCCCAAATCTATACTTTGGCTTTAAAGTAGTCCTTGCATAGGTACTTTGCGGCAAGGGAACATTTTTTGGGTACAGAGAGTGTAGGATTCAAGTTCTGGGCTTTTGACTTTGATGTCTGAAGCCTCGGTCATCAACCCCGAGATATCAAAATGGGCTCAGAACAGGTTGTTTAGGGCTTAGAGGGTTTAGTAAGTAGTATAGTGAAGCAAACAGACCTTAACAATCGTGATCCTATTTCAGAGATTTCAACAATCAATCCGCATCCAAGAAGTATGGGACGTTTAAATTCAGCAATATGCCAAGGCTCCTGCGCGTCCCTGGCAAGGTTTCCATAGAATCTGCGGGACCTCTGCAAAGCCCTAAACCCTAAACCCAGATGTTGGAGTATACTGTTGCTACGAAATTTCTCATATTACACGGTTATCGCTGAGAAGGAACATGAAAGTACAGTGCCTTGCGGAAGCTTCAGGGATCGACTTCAGGATCCAAAATCCTCTAATCCATCAACCCTCAACCCACAGGAATTGTCCCCTAGGTAGGGCTTTGGGGCATTTTATATTTTCCCTTATTGGGCTTAAGAGGATCTTATTTACTAATATTTTTCAAAGGCTTTAAAAGCTCCACCTAGTCCCCCGTTACCATGCCGGAGTCTTTTGCAGAGAAGAGATGCCGCTTGCTTTTTTTGCTAGGGCCGTGCGCGCGTACATGCGCGCATTGGCGCCGTCTCTGAAAAAGGAGGCTTCCGCAGGCGGTGTGATATGCGAGCATATCTGAAATGGGGTCCTAAGATTCCGTCTTTCTGGTGCCATTCATTTGGAAAGTGTCTTTTGGAAACAACTTCGATCCAATAAGGGATCTGATGTCCTCTCCGACGGCCGTGAACCAGAATTCGATCCTTATAAGGTTCAATAAATACAACCGTATGGATAGGAGAGGTGTGGTCAGCAGCGAAGACCTCAGTGACAAGCTTAAGTTCGGATTTCAAGAGGAAATCCGACGGTTTGCGGGGTTTACCCGCGGCATCCCAGACCTCGGTGTTCGGAACTCTGGAGTAAAATGAAGCTTTGATTCCAACAATTCTTCGAAGAAAGCGAAAATAAAAAGCGTCAACTCTGTTCAACTGCGGTGTGGTCAGGGAGAGCGAATCCAATCCGTAATTGAGCGTCGGTATGAAAACTGCCTGAAAGATCTTGAGGTTCTCTGGCCTGGGCAAAGAACTGTTCCATACTAACTTAAGTTTCTTGAATGCCTCCTCTGCGAGAGCCCGTCTGTGGAAGAAGGCCGTCTCGAAAGGTTTGATCCAAGAAATGCGGGAGCCAAGATACTTTACCTGTTCAGCAGTAGGAACCGGGTCGCCATTCTTGAAAGTCCACTGAGGCTCCGGCCCAAGTGGATTCCTAAGGATTTCGGTTTTATCTTGGTTAAGCCTCATGCCGTAAAGCGCCGCCTCAGTTTCAAGCTGGTGGAGCATTGCTTGGCCCTGCGGTGTGGTCAAAGAGAGCAGTAGCGTGTCATCCGCATACTCCAAATCGAAAAAAGGGTGGTTGACGCTCCAGACGTTGGTAGCGATACCTGACTTAAGAAGCGCAGCATCAAGATCAGCAAAAATAACAGTCATCACAATGATAAACAAAAAAGGACTGAGAGGGCATCCTTGTCGGATGCCGGAGCAGAACTTACCCTGAGCGGTATGGTCAGCGAATCCTTGCGTGTTAAAAGTCGCCCCCGTGTAGAAGGACTCGATAATTTTGAGCTCGGCTTCAGCAATGCCGAATCTCTGCAAGGCCACCAGTAAGGATTGGTGATCTACTGAATCAAAAGCCTGTCGCCAATCAAGAAACAGTAGGTTAAGGGGGCGATTGGTCATGTTCGCCCACTCCATAGTTCGGCGCAGTATGAACAGCGGATGCTGCGTGCTGCGGTGTGGTCTAAATCCAAACTGGGTTTCCCTCAGTCGTTTTTCGCAATAGCCCATGAGCCTGTTTTTGATCATGGCAGCGAAAATTTTGTAACTGGCATTGTGCAAAGAGATGGGCCGGTAGTTGGCCGGATCAGTGTCGGATCCCTTTCCCTTGAAAATGGAGACCACCGTGGCCTCAGTCCAAGAAGTCGGACCCTGCCCTGCATTCCTGGCCTGGTTGTACAAATCAAGAAGCGCAAGTTCAGCGGTATGGTCAAGAAGCTTGTAAAGATCAGCTTCGAGACCATCAGGACCCGGGGCCTTCTTACTGGCAGTTTGGGCCAGCGCTGCTTGAAGTTCCTCCAGCGTATAAGGTCCTTGATCAGGTTGTGTGGAATGGAGTTGGGCACGACCTCTCAACTCTTCGGCGAAGTGGTCAGAGTCCGGGTGCCTGGCCCACTGCACATCCTGAAGGTGATCACGAAAAGCTGTGTGGGTTTTGGTCCAAGGAACAGGCTTGCCGTCCACAATCAAGTGAGACTTGCGTCCCTGAAATCCCTTCTTCTGTCTTCTAACTGTGTCCCAGACAGTAGAATGGGAAGACGCGGGATCCGAAAGGAGCTGTTCATGAATCCAATTAACCCGGTCCTTTTTTGCAGATCTTTTAGCAACGTTACGCTTGTGCTTGGCGGTATGATCAGAAGAAGCCTCCGCGACCTTAGCCTCTGCAAGCAAGTTGAGCGTAGTTTCTGAAATCCATGGCTTACGTGGAACAAAGGTACGGGGCATAAAAACAGCCTGAGACGCCGACTTGATGGCGGAGTGAAAAGAATCAGCAGAAACTCTGGCAGAATTTGCGGTGTGGTCACAATCTGGGTAGCGTGCCGAAGTGCCCTGTCGAACAGCCTGCACTTTACCAGAGTTTGCTAAAGCGTCCGCCTTCTCATTGCCCTCATGCCCTGCGTGCGCTTTGATCCACTGAATGTGATGTTTCGGTAACATCTTCAGCAGGGAACGAACGTAATTGATCAATTTTTTGTGTCTTTTTGGACGCCACGTGCCTCGAATAACGTTAATAGCCCATTTGCTGTCAGAATGAATGATGATGTGGCGGTATGATTGGTCGAGAGCATGGACAACAGCCTCCAAGATGGCCGTTACTTCACCTGTGTTGTTGGAGCCAACCTCTGCTCCCACGTAGCAAGGATGGGAGCAATCCGTGATAACTGGGCCGGAGGCTTCGTGCCAATAATCTTCAATCTCATAACAGAAACCCCATCCCGCCGGCGTGGAGGCGGAGCAACGTCCTGAAGAACCTGAGCCATCCGTGAAAATGTGTATGGCCTCGGGATGGTCAGTCTGAGGACTTGAGGGATGGTCTCCCTTGAGCTGCTCCAGAAGTCGAGCGTTGAACTCATCTCTTTGCTCCGTGGTAACCTTAGTCAAGTCGAGTCTGCGGTTGGTCCTTAGCGGGCGGTTGCGGGCCGCCAGCCGAACCTGAATCTCCGTGACTAAGGGGTAGTGATCACTCGGGAAACCGCAATTAAGAAAAGACCGACACGTGCGCACTGAGTTAAGCCATTGGCGCCTTGTGAAGGTGTGGTCAAGTTTTTGGAAGCGTACCGGATCAACTTGCGGCGGTATGATCGGCGGGGCTAGGAGCCCATCTGTAGACAGAAATGCGCGCACCTGAGCTGCAAAAGCCAGCGCCTCAGTACCCAGGGCTGATTCCAGTTTGGCATAAACCTGCTGCAAAGGCAGGGGGTCCAGAACGAACTGTGACCAATCCGGCGGTGGCGCTGCCTTGTCTCTGTAAGTAATGTGATGCAGGAGCTGCGGGGACTTGTAGGAAGTAAGTTCCAGCATATCCTGTTGCACGAGAAACTGCTTACACAGGCTGCGGTTCGAAGAGGGGGAGTGGTCAATAAATCTGGAGCCCTTACCGTACACAAAAGGACCAAGAATTGGACCATCATGTCTGTGCTTAGCCTGAAAGCGAACATTAAAATCACCCGTCAAATAGACCGGCTCAGGTTGCGGAATTTTGGCGGTATGATCTTGTAGCTGTTCCCAAAAAGGTTCGCGTACAGACTCGAGGTCAAGCCCTGAATGCGGAGCGTACGCTCCGATGACGTGTACATTGCCGCCTCTTTGCTTGAATGCCAAATGAATAATGCGCGAAGAAACCTGAATAACATCCAAAAGGTGTGGTCTGAGCTGTGGAGCAACAATTGCTCCCACTCCTGCAAATTTGTCCTGCTTGTTCCCAGACAGGATAACCAAGTGTCCCTCGGATTGATACGAATAGTAAGAATACGAACGGGTTTCAGTGAGAATCAAAAGATCCAGCGAAAGTTCCTGCATTAGCTGAATGGAAGCTTTGAGTTTCAGCGTTTCGGCAAATCCTTGTACGTTCAATGTCGCGAACCTAAGTCGGGATTGATACTGCAAAGGCGGTATGGTCGGCTTGTCAACGACCTTGCGCCGTTTGCTTCTGTGAAGCTGCTGCTGCCACAAAATGGCATTGCGGAACCACCTCGCTCTTGTTTGAGCGGCGTGTGGAGACCTGGTCGGGGCAGAGGGGGAGTGGTCCAATCTCCTCCCAGCAACCTTGTTGCTAAGACGCCGCCATAGGCGGTATTCCCGGCGGCGCCGGGCCCGCTTTCTGGCGCCCCGCTTCTTAGCTAAGGCCCCGGCCATGGGTGGGGTACACTCTTCGTTGACTCCCGAGGGAGTACCCGGCGTGCCGCTTGGCGGCGGTGTGCGGCTGATGGGCTGAATGAATTCCTTAATTTGGCCACATCTCCTAGAGCGGTGTGGTCTTTTATAAAACCAAAAACCCTGATCAGTTCTGTGTTTAATACGCCGTCCTTTGCGTGTGCCGCTTGCTTTAGGGTTTAGGGTTTAGGGTCTTTGCCAGTGCAGGCCAGGTCCGGACGCAGACGCATCGGTGCAGAAAACCACGAGCCGACTTCTTCTTGCAGATGCTTTCCTCGTACTGAGCCTCCGCCCAAGCCATGCAGATGAGCAAGAGAAGTTCGAAATTCGCAGGGCCAGATTGCGTGAGAATCCCCCTTTGGAGATTGGCTGGTCTTTCGCCGAGACAGAGTCAACTGCGCCATTGCTTCTTGTGCAAAAAGACCAAAGCAGCCAGAACAGAACCCGCTCTATTTCCATGTTGGTTTCTGCAATCACACCACATATGATTTCTCGGTGCTGGGCTTGCAGCACACGGGTTCTCAGCAGGAGGGTGAAAGACAATTGTTGGTTTTGTCAGTGCCCGAGCAACCCGATTTTTTGAGAGCTGCCAATGCATTTCGGAACAACTCGACTTTGAGAGCAAGTGGACCGCGAAGTGGCCTGTCATTTATTCAGATGACACTCCCACTGTAGATTGGGATATGACAGCGAGCAAGGTGGAGATCGAAGCAAAGTCGCTGCTTCTAGTATCGCCCAAACCCTTACCTTTGGTTAGTAGGGAATGGAAGAATGGTAGTAATAGTAGTTCTAATTGTACCCCATTCCTCCATTCCCTACTAACCAAAGGTAAGAACCTTGTGTCAAGCCTGCTCGCTACGTTCCGTAACAGCTCTCCGAACCCCTACCCGCAACCTGAATCCCCAGCCCCCGAAACCCCTAAACCCAGAGACTCCAATATACCTTAATTAAGGAATATTCCATAAATATGATCCCTATTATAATTTAAGGAATATTCCTTAGGTTATTGAAACCCGGAACCCCCAAACCCCCAAAGCACCCAATGGTAACATAGGGTTGATGATACAAATCCTGCATTACCCATAATAAGGAATATATGCAAAATACGGTATATTCCTTTTTATGGGTCATGCAGGATTTATATCATCAACAGTAGGGTCCAATCCTAAATCATTAGCAATACCAGCCCCTCAGGGTTCCTTATCATGACTATTATACCCCAGACCCCTGTCCACCTGTTGATGCCCCTGTGTGATATATACATAGTAGAAGCCAGAAAGACTGAACATCAGTATCCTCATGCGCTTGACGTACACCGCAAGGGATCCTGGCACTAGTCCTCCTAAACCCATGTTCCAACTTTCTGGGAGTCGCTGCAAATCCTTGTAGAAAAACTTTTGATAGCCGATAGCACTTATATATATATATATATATATAGATACCCTTTCACGGAACCGTTCCTATTAGTCTGGTTATGAGGGCCTAAGTGTTCAGTCTATTCAAACTCCCTGCGGGTTGCGCATAAGCCCCAAACCCTGGGAGTTTTCTTGCAGGCTCCTACCAGACGCGTGTGCGGCTTTTTGACCTTCCCTTCACGGAGGTGGACTTAGCAGGGCTGAGGGCTTATAGGTCGAAGGGGAGAAGGAGGGACCCTTAATGGGGACCCCTACCTTATAATGGGCTATATCATGGGTATATAATGGCTAAATTAAGGGTATATAGCTAGGGGTCCTTATTAAGGGTCCCTTCTTTTACACTTGGATTAGGGTCTGCTCTGCTTGAGGGTTACTTTCGTATGATACGATGAAATGTACGGGTACTTGTCAAATTAAGGTCCCTTTTGGGGTACCCTAAATAGTAGGTGCCGTATTATATCAAGGACCCGAAAAGGGCCCATAATTTTGACAACCACCCATATGGTCTTCTAACTTACAGTAACTTACAGGTCAGTGACTAGGGTCGTGGGTGTAGGGTTTACGGCCTCTTTCCGAGTGAGGCGGGTTGGCGGTCAGAGTTATTCGGGGGTTGCAGGGCTGTGGGGCCTGCTTTACACTAATAGTAACAGGCCACAAAAGGATCTGCTATGCCGACACCAGTCCCGTGTTATAACGTTTTCTGGCGGCATGGTTGAGGGTTTAGGGTGGTTGGGGTTACAAAATTGCAATTTACTCTTTAGGGTTGAGGGTTAAAGGCCCGCACGCATAGACGTTTTTTCTTAACGGTCCCCAAGACATATCCAGAAGCACCACTATCCCTGAGTTGAGGAATAAATTCTCTTAGACCATCAACCAGCCCTTGCCCTAAGCCCCAAACTCTGAGCTCTAGACTCCATGCAAACCTTAGACTCTAAAGGCCCCACTGTGTTTTTCGCTGCTGCTGCCGACGAGTCCAGCTATGCCAGCTACCTGGGCACCGGAGATCCCCCTGGATACTTTACGAAAGCGCCTACACATTGCACCTGCCTCTTCGTTGTGGTATCCTTTTGCGCTTTGGGTGGGCCCTAAACCCTAAAATTCTAAACCATAAATCCTACACCCTCAACCCCGAACCACAAGCCCTAGACCCTATATCCTCAACCATAAGCCCTACATCCTAAAACCCTTAAACCCCTATTCGGTTGCGCCACGGCGCCGGACCTTCAGCCCTGGCATCGCGACGAGCTGAGAAAGCGGTTGAAGGAAGGCACTGGTCGGCCTTCGGCTTGTACTTACTGTCGATGATATAAATCCTACATTACCTTACTTGGAGGGTCGGGGGACTTAGTAAGTAGGTAGTAAGTAGACTTATAAGTACCCTAAGAGGGACCCTAATTGGGGTTATGGTACTTATAAGTCCCCTAAAATAACCAGTTACTAAGTCCCCCGACCCTCCAAGTAAGGACCCTACACTATGGGAATTATGGTACATTCCTTATAATGGGTAATGCAGGATATCTATCATCAACCGCATGACTCTACAGTAGAACCCAAACAGCTGGAACATCATTATCCTGATGCCCTTAAGGTGAAGTTTATGGAATAGCAGAACCAATCATCCCCAACTCATGCTCCAAGTTTCTGCGGTTCACTCTATAACATAACTGCCTACTAGCAGTCATGCACGATAGGAGTCCCCTGATCTCACACGGACTGCACGAGTCAAACTCAACCCGCGAGAAAGGTGTGCAGTGTGTGTGTGTGTGTACTACACCACATGAGATTCACGAAACAAGCGAACTGGCAGTGCGGGATGGAAGAGATTGTAGAGAGACCCTCATCTTTCAAAGAGGCAGCACCCTAACCCCAAACCCTGAACCCTAAACCCTGAACCCTAAACCCAAAATACCCTAAACCCAAAACCCTATACCCTAAGCCCAAAACCCTATACCCTAAACCCAAAGCCCTAGACCCTAAACGCTATACCCTAAACCCAAAGCCCTATACCCTAAACCCTAAACCAGACGCCCTTTGCGACGGTTGCAGGTGGATTCGCAGTGGTCTGAGGTGCTCGAGCCTGTAGCCGTGGACCCGGCTAAGCTCGCGGGCCTTTTCAAAGGTTCGTTGAATGAAGGGTTTAGGGATCTATAGGGGTAATATAAGGGGTTCCTTAAAGGGATCTATAGGGGTACTCTACGGGTTAATGGTTTAGGGTTTACTTAGAGGACCAAGGGACTTAGTGAGTAGGGTTATAAGTACCCTAAGTAGGGTTATAAGTAGATATAACTACAGTTACCTTAATTATAACCTTGCTTACTAAGTCCCTGATCCTCCAAGTAGAGAGGGATTAATACAGAGATTTTTCAACACAGGGTTTAGATTTTATAGGTCCCCCGGTACCACCCTCTTGCCCTTTCTAGTTTGGGCGTCCGCGCATTATGCCCCATGTACCCTAAACCCTAAGCCTCAGGGATAGCACCAGATCATCCAGGTGCTGCATCAGGAGAAGAGGAAATCCTAACCCCAAAACCCGAAAACCCTTCACCCCCAAACCCTAAACGGCAGTTCATTCTTCTAATCCAGAGGGTCCATACACTATCATTAGGGAAGTAGGTCCCCAAAGCCATAATAGGGATGGTCCTCCAAGACCTAAGAACCCGGTAAGGGAGTACTATAGATCCCTCTTTGGAACCCTTCCTGATCCCTTTAAAGAACCTGCAGCTCAGTAGATCCAATGCCAAAGACAGACTTATACCCACAAGTCTGGTTCCCACCATTTACAGGGTTTGTTGAAGATTTGGGTTTGAGCGAAACAGAAATGTTGCCTTTCACCCAGACTTCTGAGGAAGTTGACGTGGCAATGGATTTGGCGGAGGCCCTCAACGAACGATACATCTCATGGGATGGATGGGCGGCATATTCAGTGTGAAGTCCATGAAACATGAATTGAAGATCATGGCATTGCTGGTGGACGACTACAATGTGAACAAAAAGACACCCAACATGGGATTTGTGGTTAGATTTTGGTTTACATTTGTTGGACAAATTTCCTTGCATGAGGTCATTATGCCATTCATCCGTGCTGACATACTCTACATGACCAGAGTCGCACGAAGTAACATTCCCATTCAAGATGGCCAGAAACCGAGAATTGAAGGGGACTTCCCGCTATGCTTGGAGGAATCTGTATGCAAAGGTACGAATATACAAAACATGTCTGCGGAAGTTGAAGTGCCCGCGCTCCCCTATGCCTTTAAGGGGGTTTCCCTCTTCAGGAACCCTAAACCCTGAACCCGTAAAAAAAAAAAAACGTTAAGACGGCACTATAGATCCCTCTTAAGGAACCCTTAGCCCTAAACCCAAAAAGGCCCTAAACCCTTTTGGAACCCTTTAGGGGGATACCTGGATTTCAACTAGGATGCCCAGTAGTACCCTTATTCCCTTTTTGTAGTCCTAGGTTCCTTATAAAGTTACCCAATACCAAAAAGAGAGGCCTTTTTATTCTTAGGTTACTGGGTATCCTAGCCTAAATCCCAAATCCGGAAACCCTACTTGGAGGATCATGGGACTTAGTAAGTAGGGTTAAAAGTACCGTAATTAATTTTTAGGCTACCCTGGGAACCCTAAACCCTAAACCCTAAACCCTAAACCCTAAACCCTAAACCCTAAACCCTAAACCGTGGGGTCTAGTCAAGGACTACCATGGTCACGAGCACCCCCAGATGCCGCGAGGCTCGGGGAGGGTCACTTCCAGGATCAGGGGAGCTCGGAAAGTAGGGGTCCTTTTTGAGGGTCCCTTTTAAAAAGGGATCTATATGGGTACTATGAGGGTTTTGGAAAGTAGGGGTCCTTTTTGAGGGTCCCTTTTGAAGGGATCTATAGGGGTACTATGAGGGTTTCGGAAAGTAGGGTTCCTTTTTGAGGGTCCCTTGTTTAAGGGGTCTATAGGGGTACTATAAGGGTTTAGGGCTTTGGGTTCTATAGGGGTACTGTAGGGGTTTAGGGTTGTTGTTTTCAGAGTGGCTGTCGGAGCACAGATGCAGGAACATGTTCACTTGTCAGTGATCGCAGGCACTTTTACGGCCATCAGGAAAAGAGTGCGTAGGATCGCATCTCATAGGCGCTGCCAACATTGGCAGCGGAGCCTGCGGGCTTCGGCTTCCTGAGGAGGAAGCTCCCTTTGCCGAGCTCTCTGCCGCGGGCGGAAGGGCGGCTCGTGAAGTCAGGGACCCTTTTAGATGTCTGAGCCCGGACATGGTCTCCGCTACTTCAACGGTGACGATTCCGTCGACTGGCGTGAGTACAGGAGATGGAAAATGTGGTGTCAGAACAAGTTCCTCGTGATGGACAAGCTTCCGAAGGAAGCGAGAGGAAGCTTTGTGTGGACGCTGCTTCAAGGAAAGGCTCTTGAGATTGTGGAGCACCTGAAGGAATCCGAGTATCAGAAGGAAGGAGGCGAGAAGGTGATCTTCGCTCTCCTGGATACGAGGTGGCCGGAACGTGAGCGTTCTGATGAGATGGGTGAGAATCTCACCGAGATCTTCATGCTTCATGCTAAAGAGGCTGAACAGGTGCGGACATGGTGCGCCCGATCTCGTGAATGCTTTGACCGGTGCCAGCGGAAAACTGGTGTGACCTTTCCGGAGGAGGCCAAGGGCTGGCTTCTTCTGCACAGAAGCGGCATGTCTGAGGAACAGAGGGCCGTGATCCTGGCCAGGACGGCCGGGGATCTGAAGTTCGACACTTTGTCGACGGCTATGAGGTCTTGCTTTCCAGAGTACGTGGTGCCCAAGAAGCGGGCATCGGCGGCGCACGCCGCGCATTACATCGAGAATGAGGACGATGTTTGGTGGTACGCCGGCGGCTACGAGGAGCCGGTGAACGAGGACGAGGCCGTCTTCCAGGATGTCGAGATGTTTCTCGCCGAGCACGACAAGACGGACGCCGACGACCCGGCGGAGACGTATCCAGAGGCAGAGATCGCCGAGGTGCTGGCAACGACATGGAAGGACAAGCGCCAAGAGTTGGCGAAGCTTCAGAAGGCGAGGAAGTTCAATCAGGCTGGTGATCTGAAGCGGTCCTTTCGGATCGAGGTGGAAGAGCTGAAACGGCGCACGAAGTGCAACCGCTGTGGTCAGGTTGGCCACTGGGCTCGGGAATGCCGAGTCAAGAACCCGGGTGCATCGACATCGTCGACTTCGGGGCCGCCATCGTCGGCCCACTTGGTCCAGCATTTTATCTGCCATGCGGTTCAAGGAGTCTCGGCTCCACCTTCGATGTTGGAACGGCTGCGGGAGAACCGCCGAGCCGAAGCTTCTCAGGAGATCCTCCTTGTGTCCAGCCCCGGCTTTGCTGTGTTGGATTCGGGATGCGGCAAGAGCGTCATCGGCGAGGACACCCTCCGGGACTTTCGCACCATCTGGGAGCGATTTGGCATCGCCCAACCATCTGAGGTGAAGGAGCTCAACTCCTTCAGGTTCGGCAATGGCGCGGTGGAAACGTCGAGGCGTCTGGTGGAGATGCCAGTCTGTCTGGCCGGGCGACGCGGCCTCATCCGGGCCGCTGTGATCCAAGGGCGGGCTCCTCTTCTTCTTTCCCGTCCGGCTCTCAAGACTCTCGGAGCCCAGCTGGACTTCGGTACCGATCGGCTGAAGCTCCTTGACATGGAAAAGGCTATCGACGTGAAGACCAACGAAGCCGGCCAGTACGTGATCCCTGTGGCTGAGTTTCAGGAGACGGAGCTCCCGGTCACCGAGGAACCTTGCGATGATGAGGAGAAGCCCCGCTCTCCAGGACCGCTCGCCTGTGGGTTGGCGGAGAGCGATTTCTGGGTTTGTAGTGAGGATGGTGTGCAGGTCATCCGGAGGCATGTTCAGCCTAGGCGTGAGGCCTTTACTCCATGTGCGGAGGGTTGTCCGATTGAAGTCAGCTTGCTTAAGGATTGCCGGGAAACTAGGATAGATGGATGTCCGTTAGTCGAAGACAACTGGCGAGACCCGAGTGTTGCACATCGGAAGATCCTTGATGAGCCATGGGTTGGTGAGACTGTGTTTTTCCGTAAGCAGGAGCAGTGCGTGTCGGATTCACCGGCGAGTGAGGCTGTCAGTGAGCCTCCGGAAACCGAGGCGTTAGCCGGAGAGTGGACGTCACATCAGTGGCGCCAGGTCAAGTCGGCAGCCCGCCGGGCACGCCAACGTGCCTCTGCACCTGAGCCCCGGGATGATAAGGTTCGAATTGTTGAAGTCTTCTCCCCGCCTAGGTTCTCGCTTGAAGGGACTACAAGAGGGATGAAATGTGTTGCTGCCGATTTGATCACGGGCTGGGATTTCCGAGTAGCTCGTGACCGCGACGGCCTGCGCAGCTTGATTCGTGACCAGAAGCCAGAATTCTTGAGCATTTCTCCCCCGTGCACGTGGGCCGGCGGCTGGTATGACCTTAACGATGGCCATCCCTATCCCGAACAACAGCGGTATAAGGAATCCTTAGTTAAGCTGTTCATGAATTTTGCTGCGGAGCTCGTCGAGCATCAGCTTGACCTGGGCGGAAGTGTCTTGATTGAGCTACCCCTGAACAGCTCATGTCTCAAGAGCCCTCGCTGGCAGAAACTTCTGCTGCGACTGCACTCCCTTCAGATCGATCTTGGTGTGTTCGGACTAGTTAATCCCAGCGGTCAGCCGGTGCAATGTCCGGTGCAGCTCCTTGTTTCCCATGCCAATATGAAAGTTTTGGCCAAGCAGTGCCCGGGAGAGCCCGTGTCGAGCGTGTTGCAAGCTCTCCGCAGTCGTAGGAATTATGAAGATCGTGGCGCCGCTGTCGGCCGCCTTAGGGCACAATGCTTACCAAGGTTCATCAAGGCTGTTCTTCGCTGTGTCAAGGGGCTCCCCCGCTCCGGGACTTGCGTTTTTCAACATGCAACGGACCATGAGTGTTTCGTGGCCGCTCGCGTTCAAGAGCTGAACGAGCAGCGCAGGGAGGAAATGATCAACAGTTTGCGAAAGCTGCATGCCAATCTGGGCCATCCTCCCAACGGAACCCTGGTCAGAGTGCTCAAGCATGGCGGTGCTTCCGAGGTGGCTCAAAGCCTCGCCCGCGAACTGAAGTGTGAGTTGTGCGATTCACAGCGACAACCAAGAGCCGCACCACCAGCACAGACTCACCGGGTCACGGAATTCAATCGCCGAATCGGTCTGGATATTAAGTACCTACCTGGATGGAAGCCTAATCAGAAGATTCCCTGTGTCAACATAGTTGATTAATTATGCTAGTTCCTTCCAGATCGTAGTTCCGTTGCCCGGGCCGCGCGAGACGGCTGAGCAGATCCGCCAGGTCCTTCAGGACCGATGGATCGCATGGGCCGGTGTGCCACACGAGCTGGTGATTGATCCTGCCCAGACCAACTTGAGCGACGCTTTTACGGTGCCGCAGGAGTTGGCCGGTGTGACACTTGCCACCACGGCAGCTGAGGCCCATTGGCAATTGGGGAAGGTTGAGGTACATGGTGGCTGGTTTAGTCGGGTTCTTCAGAAGGTCATTGCCGAGTGTGCCCCGAACTCTCGGGAAACATGGGCCGAGTGTGTGCTTGCCGCCCATTGCAAGAACGAGCTCGTGCAGGTGTACGGCATGACCCCTACTCAGTTTGTGTTCGGTAAGAACCCAAGAGTCCCTAGCAACCTCCTTGATGAGCCACTTGCAGTTGTGCCAGCCACGGCTTCTCTGTATGAGAGTGCCGTTGCTCGAAGCGTTGCCGTTCGCCAGGCAGCCCGGAAGGCAGTCATTGAGCTACAGGACGACAAGGCCCTGAGGCTCAGTCTGGCTGCAAGGCCGCGGGTTCTCGAGCACTTCGCTCCGGGTTCCATGGTAGCATACTGGAGGACACAGAAAAGCCAACAAGGTGTGATCGTTCGGGGTGGTAGATGGTACGGGCCTGCTGTGGTTTTAGGATACGTGGGCAAGAATTTGGTTGTAGTGCACAAACGACAGGTCTTCAGATGTGCACCCGAACAGGTGCGCAAGGCGACTTCAGAAGAGGAGTGTCTCGCGGACACACCGCGAGCAGAACTTCTAGGCCTGAAGCACTTGATCGAAACTAATGCCCTCTCCAGTAGGCAGTATGTGGACCTGACCCCCGACGGTGTACCTGATCCTGCTCCTGATGTAAGCCCCAGTGACCCAGACCAACCGGGGATGAACGAACCCGAGCTGCCTCAGGTGTCAGCCTCCGCGTCCCATCCGCCGGCCGGCTCGCCACCGCGTGTGCCACTGGAGCCACAGGATGCTGGAGTTGGAGTGGGTCAAGGGTCGCTTAGTGATCGGGGTTCTGGGATAGGTTCGGGTGTAGGTAGTCAACCCTACGTTGCCTCCCCACCTAGCCTCGCCGAGCCCAGTGTACCGGATAAGTATGGCCCTGTTCGACGTGTTCGCGGGAAGCGAGCTCCAACAGCCTCAGGAGCGCACGGTTCCGATGATGGACCACTGCACAGACCGCAGGCCATGCTTCAAGATGATTTCGCTGATCTTATGGATGAAGTACTTCCCGAACTTGTAGCCCGTAGTCTGCAAGAAACCGTAGCGAGTCCTGAGCAACCCTCGAATCAGAATGCTGACCAGCCTGGCACAGGTCGTGGCTCCAAGCGTGAAGCTGCGCCGTCTGAGGAGAGTCAGAGCAGCGCTAAGCGTGCCGCTTCGTCCAGTCAGAGTCTATGCCCTGATGAAAGTAGTGACCTTAGTATAGA